TAATATTTTCCAACAAATTTATTAGACACACCATTATGATGAATTTTAAAAAAGTATGTTTGTACAGTACATGTATACTTGTTCTGGCACATGGGAAGTAACCTCAAAAAAAGGTCTGGCAGTCAACGTGTTTAATCATGAATTTGACTGTGGTTATCATTTTACCAAGTACGAGGTGAGTGATGGTTGGTATAATGCACCATACCCCAGAATTAGGCCTAGGCCAATATTTTAAATAATGAAATCTGCAGTTGATTAATGTAGGCAGCCTAACATAGATATTTTTTTAATATTTCAGCGTAGACTTATACAAGGCAACAAATAGCAAGAGATGGGATGAAGTAAAAAGCATTGTCAGCGTCCAACCAGAACTCGTTAATGAGATATACGTATGTACTAGACTCAACCAACTTTGTTAACCCTCTAGATACCGTCTTCGACTGTAGTCGAAATTGACCTCAAACCGAGAATTCCCATTTTCGACTGCAATCGAAATTTTGTGACTAAAAAATAGGTGGTTTTCAAATCGCTCTTCTGTTTTTATTTTAGCTCCAATACGTCAGAAATTTTGAAGATGTGTACACAGCTGAGCAAGCGATTGACCTGATTTTTGATTCAGACAGCGATGAAGGTGAATTTTTAGATGTGTGAGACTTAGACGTGCCTGTTAGCAATGATGACTGTGGGGCTTCAAGCAGTTCTGACGGCGGAGATGTTCTTGATGAAGATGAGTCTAGGCCTAGAAATGTGAGGGTAGTCGACACTTTTGAATGGAAAGATCGCGCTTATAGTTATGGATGGTTGGGTAAATAATTTATATAACTGTGTGGAATAGGAATGTTTTATATTTGTTTTTATTGTTTTTGGCTATAATTTATTTTTTTTCCGGTTTTTGCTGACGATTTATATGTAGCATTTTTCTGTCATTTCTATTATATTATATATATATATATATTATATTATATTATATTATATTATGAAAAAAAATTCAAAAAACGCAAAAAACCTTGTTACACTCAAAAGAATCCGGTATTCAAGGGTTTGCACTACAAAAGAATCCGGTATCCAGAGGGTTAAAGTAAATTTTTTGCTTTCAAGCGAAGATTGAAATGAGAATATACTTTTCAGCAGCAGTATGCACAAATACAAAACAAAAAATATAACTAAAATAATAATTGATATAATTTTGCTAAAAATATGCTAATTTTCATGATTCTAAATGAACAGAAAATTAGTCTAATGATCAATTATTATAAGGTAAATTCTTAATTTAAAGATATATAATTGTCCCACATAAATGACAAAAAAGTCATAAAAACTAATTTTAAAATTAACTTGCTCATTTTGTACAAAAACAGAAATGATCAACTTGAGAATAGAAATTATTGTATTTCAAAAATGTGTACCATGATTTTATACTGGATAATGATAAAAATAATAAGATCACTTCCAGTGGCTGAAAATGTTTCTGTCATTTTTTGCTGTGAAATTATGGGTAACATTTAAATTTTTTAAATACAATAATTTCTATGTTCAAGGTGATATTTTTTATGTTACTTCAAAATGAGCAATTTAATTTCAAAAATTTTATTTTTGAAATTTTTGGGTATTTTTTTTAAGACAATACATTTTAATGTGATTATGATGTGATTAGAGTTTTTATATTTTTGTATATCTATACAAGTAGTCTTACTATAATTCTTTAATTGTATTTTGATACAATATGGAACTGGTATACAGAATGCCTGTGTGTATTTGAATACTGTATTTTTTTATGTAGCGTGATGCTCCATTATTGTTTTGGATCGTCTGGTCTGATGCACCACAAACTCTTCTGTTGCAAAGTTTAGAGCATGCAACTGTAGAAACTGTTGATGCCCAGAATGAGAAGGTAAGTGGAATCAGTAGCTAGCAGCATTTAAGCCATGGGACTGGGGCATGTAAAGCCGGACACTCACTGTGTCGTTCGATGGTCGTACGACTGTCGCACGACAAATCCACATTTGCTTCTGGCGAGCGAAAGACGAAGCAACACCGTCCGCTGATTGTCAGTGGCAATCTGAACGGATCCTCATTAAAAAGACGATCCGTTGGGTCCGCGTCTTTGCGTGCGTTCTTCGTTGCGTTGCCGTCGCACGCAGTGAGTATCCGGATTTAGGGTTTAAGGGGATGGGGCAAGCATATTTAGTTAAAAAAATGTATCGGACCCTTCTAAAGGTACGACAAAATGCATTGTGTATCAACATGCAAAGAATAAAATATTTGAAAACGAAAGATAGCTTAGAAAAAACGAATGATAGTAAAATAGGATACAGATTAACATATTGACTGCCAAGCCTTTTTTCTTGTTCCATCCCATAATATTCCAAAGCATAAAGGGTGTCACCAAATGAAAATCAACTGCATAATGAAACGCGAACAAACAGCAGTTATTTTTAGACAAGCTTATGTGCAGTTAATAGTTATATGTTGGACAGGTGTGAATGTGAACTTGCGTCCTTGCACCTGTCAGATGTGGACTCGCGTCCCTGGCAACGAACGTCTTGAAACAAAAAAAAACACAATTTTTTCTGGCTGTGACTTGCATAAGTATTCACTCAACGACAATAACTATATATTTGTCCTGGTAATTAGTTGCTAAATTTTCTTATACAATTAACAGATTTATCAAACTTTGCTTAAATTCATCTTAAATTCATTATTTGGCTTCAAAGTCAAATTTTCAGTAATATATTTTCTTAAAATCCAATCTTGCTTCATATGAAAAGTTTTGTCTTAATATGGCATGCAATAACTACAGTACATACCTGGATTACAATCTTAGCGAACGACAGGTCAAAAGCACAGTACTGGAAAGGGTACTTGAAATACACTTGTGGGCTTTGACTAAACATGAACACAGCCTATATACACAAAGGAATAGGGTCTAAAGTTTCAACATGATGTAAGCACGACAAATATTTGATAAATTTTGAATATTGGTTGCATAATATTCTACTATCAAGTGGTTGATACAGCTCAGTTCCTCCACAGCGAGAAACCATAGTTATCTCAGCTAGTTATCTAAAAACAAAATTAAAAAAACCAGAAGCTCCTTATATTTTAGTAAATTTATGTTTGCAACGCACAAAGATACCAATAAAAATTGTTACATCTAACACCAAGTAACTCACCAATTAAAGAATGGAATGGTGCTTTATAAACCAAGTTTCTTATGAGGCATGATGCTATAGTGAATAGAGCTGTTTTGAAAACTCTGGGATAGGAGTGCTTTTCAACCCAGGCCCTGGGATTTGAAGGCAAGCGTCTGCACACTAAGTCAATTCAACTTCACTGTCGTCGTAAAATTAAATCATAAAGATGCATCAGTTGAAAAAGCTATGGAGATATGTGCCAAAGAATTGGAGACATCCGTACCAACTTTTTTTTTTTTGGTAACTACTCAGAAAAAGAGGTGTGTGACTTCAGCAAACATGCATCTCTCTATAGTAAAGAACTGTAAATAGCAGTCAATATCCACAAAACAGTTACTTACAATCCCAGTGTAAGCATTTGATATAGGGAATTATTTTTTAAATGTTCATATCACAATATGATTTATATTTTACCTTGTTCAAATTTTATAAATCTTCATGTGATTGCCATCTCTCGATAATGATGAAGGCTACAGGAAATTTGTAAACAGTGTACAGATATTGACAGTTCTTAAAGTGTGGTTTTCATTTTTTTTACATTTCAAAAAACACCTATATCTCTGTCACCATTCCATGATCAATGGCAAAAACCAAGCAATCAATATTATACAAATATAGTATAAAGGCCTGTTTATACTTCAACGATAACGATAAAAAAGCTAAAAAGCGATTGTTCATATAGAAAACTAAAGAAATAAGTGAAGTTTTTACACTTGGACAATTCGATAACGATTTATCATGTATACGATAACAAAATATTTTAACAAATCAAATCAGATGACGTCATAATAATGGTAAAACGATAAAATCGTTGCTACTACTACGATTTTAATGTTTTTCCATGATTATGACATCATCTGATTTGATTTGTCAAAATATGTTGTTATCGCATAACTGATAAATTGTTATCAAATCTTTCTAGTGTAAAAAATTCTCTTATTTCTTTTATTTTCTATATGAACAATTTTTATCTTTTTTATCGTTATCGTTGAAGTATAAACAGGCCTTAATGAATGCTTATGAGTAGGCCTACAATGGAGTAGAATATTTCATGATGTGAAAGATTGGATGTTCTATTCAATGAGGTGTAGCCGAGTTGAATAGAACATCCAATATTTCACTGAATTAAATACTTTACCCCATTGTACGAATGAGAAGCATTCATTATCTGTTTTATACAACGCCTGTGTATCTCTCACCATTATATCGATAAATACCTTGATGTCCTGAGGCTGTAGGTCTTCGGGTGTACGTAGGCCTAACCACCTCTAGGCTTATCCTGCTGTACCTAATGATAGCAAAATCTTTATCATACCTTCTTTACTCATAGGGTTTTGTGTGTTACTGCATATTTTATTGCCCTTTTTATTGATTCAGCATTACTTTCATTCAGTAATTCCTCAAAGCCTTCTTCACTCAAAAGTACAACAAATGGCCCATTACCAAATGGACCTGCCATTTTATTGGCAGAATGAGGGCTGCTAAATGACCAACTTCTTGATGCCGCGCGTTGTAACTACGCTATGCTAATTTTTCTGTCGCGCTTGCAGCGCGTTGCATTTGAGATTTTTGTCTTCTTGGAGATGAAAAAGTACTATTCGTCGATCATTGACTAGTACTCAAATGACCACGGAATAATCATTTTAAATCAATCTCACATGACCTGTTTTCAACCAATCAAATTAATAGAATATACAGTATACAGTTGTATAATATGTTATACCACACACATATGTAGCAAAGACAAGCCAAACTAGTCACTCATCGCAAAAATTGATTATTAGTAATATTAATACAGGGTAAAAGATGAAAAAGAATGTTATGCGCTGGGTTAGCATTGTGTGGACACTCTTCGGTAGTAACATGCGCATAAAATACAATGTTTATAGTAACTTTACTTTGGACGGAAGGCCATCTGAACATGTCTAGTGTCAGACAACATCTGTTGTGACGATGATTGTTAGTGATGATGATGATGATGATGATGATGATGGGTAGGCAGCCTTTATGAAACCTATTGATTGACAAAAAAAGTTTCCTAAAATATATCGATAATTATTTTATAATGATGAAAATAATGATAATGATAAAGATTATGGTAGTGATGATGATGAATATAGTGTAGCACAAGTAGTATAGATTAAACAAAACAATGCTAAAGAAATATTGTAACTACAACACATTAAAGTATTTATTTAATGTTGCAGATGTAGTTTACACTGAAGTCATATTATTAAAAATTATGTCATGTTTGACATAATGACATGTATGTTTTCTTTATGATAATTTGTGGCTGGTACATTGGTATGAAACATTTGTTTCATTGTTACAGAGTGGTCATACCCCTGGTGATTGGTTTGAACAAAATGCATGTTCTGCTTACAATGCTTCTGAAAGAGAAGAGCAGAAATACCAAATCCTACAACTACTACAACGTAAGTTTATTGTTTACCGCGAATCATCCTTTTCACTTGTAATTATCAATATTTTATTGGGTTTCTTACCAATTTAGTTGATGTTATCAAGGAGGTGATATAATTGAGAAATGTATTACTAGCTTCCCCACTCCTGATGATAAGCAATTGTTTTGCTTAGTTCCCGCTACTGCCGAAAAGCCATGCTTTTGACCTAATTTTCTTGAAAAAACCATTGTTTGTGGTTTTTAATTTTTTTTTACCTGTTACTTTATGTTTTTACCTTCCACTTTTGTCACTGGTCTTTAAAATTGGCCTAGGCCCATATATCAAAGATGTGATAGTAAAAATGACATTTTACATATTTTCATATCATTAAACTGGACAGAATGTAAATATAGACTGAATAGCCACCACTCGCCACTCACCCTCCACAGTAACATTGCAGCTGAGTTTCAGTAAAGCTCCACATTTTTTTAAAATAAATTGCTTAATTTAAACAAACGAGGACAAGTTTTACAGATAGAGTACATCTAATTTTAATACTTGTTTATTTTCTATTCATTATGCTTAGAATTTTAATTTTTTAAAATTATTATCACTATTATCGTTATCGTTAATTGATATCAATATGAAAAGCATATAGAGACTTTGTACTTTACAAGTGTACAACCATTACCATTAACTTTATCATTAGTAAAGAGGAAGCTTACGAATTTAAAACAAATATACCAATATCAATTGGCGGAAAGAAACACTGCTATTGTAAAATTGAAGTTTACTTTGTTTAAAATGTTAAATATGTAACTAGACTGGTAAAATACTTTTAGGGCTGTGGTACTGTACATTAAAAAAAATTTTATTAACTGTTTTATTAACCTATTTGTTAAATGAGCATAACACAAAACAGTAGAAATTGACCATGATAACCTCTCAGATGTTGTTCAATTTTACAGAAAAAATCATCCCAATGGAAATACAGGCACGTGGACCGGAAGCATTGAAAGCTTTCAACGAAGCTTTACAAGAGGGGGAAACAGAGGTTTATCAAGCAAGAACCCTTTTTCTCGGCCTTGAGAGAGTTGGAAAATCCTCTACCATTGATTCATTTTTAAGAAAACCGTAAGTAAGAAAGTTTTCTAAATAGATCTATGTCCTGAGGCTAAGCCTGGTACATGTTGAAACTACCATGACAATAATGTTAACATAGATTGAACCCTAACCTTTTTGGGTCCACACAAGGTGCTAACCCCAGAGCCTCACTGCTGTTCTTGTTCTAGTTTGAGCAAGGACTGTACATTACTGCCATCACCACTAATAGAACATGTCGCATGGATGGCGCTGTTGGTTAAGGATGTGTTCTGAAGAACTTAAAGTTGTGAGTTTGAATCGCGTCTTGGTATTCAATTTTTTTTTTTTTCCCAATTTTAAGAAATTTTAATTTTGTACAAATAAACATTCTAAATAATAATTTGTTTTGTACAGTACAAATAACATTCTATTATTTAAAAATTTCTATTTTAATGGCTCTTTAAAAAAACCCAATATAATAACTTGCGTCTGTACTGCATTTAAACATGAAGGAACACGTGGACCGGTGAGCGGTCGCTCTTGTTAATTTAAAAAACAGGAATTTTAAAGACTTAAAATGGAGATATTTTAAAATTTTATAACAAGCACAAGAAAAATTGCATAAGGTCTCAATTTCAGTCTCTTGTATTAAGTCGGTAAAATATCCTTTGGATACATCAGCAGTACTCACTTTGGTGAGTCAAGAGTCAAGCTTATAACATTTTCTTGATTGAAAAAAATCGCCCCTTTTATGCTCAACAATTTGTGGAGTGATTACTGTACATTTTGCTTGTGTCCTTCAGCTAGGCACTTCATTTGATTGTCTCCACCCAAGAGTAACTTGTGGGTACCTGGTAAGGCTGCCTACTGTTTACAGCAGGAACACTTGTACAGTACATGTACACCCAATGACCATGGAAATAGTGTTCTATAGTATAGCACAACCAAGTACAATTTGATGTAAGCTTCTGAGTAACGCTATACACCATTTTTGCAAAATTTGAAATGAAAATTTCCAAAAACTTGGCAACTACCACCGAGGGACTTCCAGAGGTCTGCAGCATTTCGCTCTACATAGTTAATCATGGATTAATTAAACGATAAATCTAAATTACTAACGAGCACAAATATTTGAAAAGTGGGGAAAGATCAAAATATTGAAATCAAGTTTAAGTCAGAGTTTCTGACAGGCCACCAGTTGAGAACCCCAGACTTAGACTTGATTTTAATATCAGAGGGTGTATTACGCGGCCAACAAGTGCATGTTATGCGACCCGCAAGAACAAGGTGAAATAGTATTTTCTGTTTCTGAGAGTGGGCTTAGATTTCTTACCTTAAATTTATAATTTTTCATTCTGTTTTGCTGACTAGGCCTAGTATATAGAGTATAATAATATAATATTTATATAATATAATATATAATATATAGAGTATATATTGCTCCACAAATTATAGCGATTTAATCAATCAAATTGGAAGAACTATCACAGCAAACAGCTAAGAAACAAATTCTATTTATACTGTTTGAGTCAGCCTAGTGCATTAGAATGGCAGCGCTGTGCTTCTGCCTGTAGTGTGTAGTTCAATATACGGGTAAGGTAAGGTAAGGATAACTTTCTTAGGTAAAGATCCCTGTATGAGTCTTCAGCAGCTTATTATATTTTTTTTTAATTCTTAATTTTGGAAGGGGGAAAACCTCTCCTGAAACCCTCCACCGGCTGTGCTCCCATGTTGCTGTTCTCTTTGGCATTAATTTTTTCAACATTTAGGAATCAAAAAACATCATCAAATATAAATAATAATTTTGAGACGTTCTTATTTCCAGATGTGCCATTGTCAATGCAAAGAAGCTTAATAGAGGTAAAATTCACAATGGGAGAACCTGTTGCAGATCTTACCTAATCTTACTGCTCCTCCCTCCTAGCTGTAGAGGTTTAGGCTTTTTTGAAAAGTTCATACACTATTGTTTCACCTGATCCTCCGCACACACTTTTCATTTTAACAATTTTTTACATTCTTCCTCCATGAATTTTATTGGTCTGCCTCTTTCTCTAGAAAATATCTAGTATATTTTTCATCATCTTATCCAAGGTTTCAACCATCTTCATCTTCCCTTGTGTCAATAATGGTATACTGTAATCATCATGTGTTACTTTCATTGGCAAATCCAGTTAAATAATTTTGCCATTAGGGAAGAATTTTGGAGAGTCTAAGGTATATTGGAATTTTAATAATTTGTAAATTTATTTTTCTTTAGCTTCAATCCAGATAAACACATCACTGATGCAATTGCAACAACAAAGGTGTGCACTCAAGATTTACAAAATGAATTAGAATGGAAAGAAACAGCAAATGACCATTGTAAGAATTTTTGTTTAATTATATGTATACCGTACATATCTTAGTGGTGATGAATACATTAATCTTAAACATTAAAGAATGCAGAACTTTCTGCTGAACCTTATAATCAGGCTCCGGAGGAAAACATTTTTTTGATATGTTGTAGAACTGATTTTTCTAAGACAGAAAAAAGTGTTTGACGAAAAACTGGGGAACGGTGAATGAGATACAGATTTTTTAATATTTAAAAACTGGGGGAAAAAGGGGCGTAACTGCCTATTTTTACACCTTATTCCCCCAGTTTTTAAATATTCAAAAATCTGTGTCTCATTCACCGTTCCCCAGTTTTTCGTCAAACAACTTTTTTCTGTCTTAGAAAAATCAGTTCTACAACATATCAAAAAAATTGTTTCCTCCGGAGCCGGACATTTAACATTACAATTATTTTTTCTGAGGTACTGCCTTGTCAATTAAATGCTTAAGATAAGGGTGTATTATATTATTCTCTGTTATTTGCAATACATCAAGAGCTAGACTTGTTCCCATGCATGTATAAAAGAGTGAAAATTCAGTTACTACCAATTAGATTTAAATTCCAAAAAAGCCCCAGTGGCTCATTTGGTTAAGGTGTCGGCATAGCCCAGAAGTTCCTGTGTTCAAATCCCAGTTGGGGAAACTTTCTATCATACATGTAGGTTCCTCTCCTTCAAATTTATAGTTTAGCAATACCACAGGACAGTTTAAAGTATGTCTGTAGGTTATACCTAAAACAACAATACAGCGCAGAATCGCATGGCCGGACGCACTCTTAGTGAAAAGTTTTCCTCCATTAGTGGAAAAGGAAGGGCGCCTTTTGCGTCTGGATATACTCAGCAATAGAAGGGCGCCCTGTACGTTGGGCACGAAGTATAGGAAACTTGCATGGTTAAAAAGAAGGGCGCCGCCTACGTTGGGCACGACTTCCGCCTCATTTTTACAATTCGAGAACTCTATCTTGTATTTCTAGTATCTTTGGTTATACCATGATTTATTTGAAGTATCTTCCAGAGATTCTCATCTTTTCGAAATGCTTAAAATGAAGGTGTATGACATATAAGAAAAATATTGGTAAACAATGAACTTTAATTTAATTGATGTGTAATTTAACATAATATTGATTTTCACAAACATTTCAGTCACACTATTTTATGTTGAGAAAATTTGCAGGTGCAACTGAAATATCCCTGAAAATAACTTTTTCTGTCTTGTTAAAATCAACCATGGTACCTAAAGTTTATTTTCTTCTATTTAATCCAATTAATTATTAATAATTTTTATATTTTATATTAACAGCTGGAGTTGCTGAGATTTATAATAAAGGACTGGCAGATGCAATAACGATGAAAATATCCAAAAATATTGATACAAAAGAGACCAACACAACAGAGGTGGTGAGTTTAATGGAAATTAGAAAAAATGCTAGTAGGAATGGACATCACAACCTTGGGAAAAACATTTCATATAGGGGTAATTGTTTAAGGCTTAGAGAGAGGAACTATCACACACCTATTTAACCTAATTGGCTTTCTGATTTATAAGGCTGTAGGCCCTATTTATTAATGTAAATGTACTATATGGGTGCATTCGAGTTTTTTGTGGAGTCTAACACAGTACGAATCCGGAAACGCCCATTTCCAGTTCTCGCCCGATTGGGTGTTAAAACTCAGACCATTTTTTATCACTTAACCCCCTTGGATTGTTTTAACACACCCCAGAAATAAAGTCTGTTTTAATGTTCATGGTTCCTGCTTCTTTTACAGTTTAATATTTTCAAAAACAAAACTAAAAAAACTATGATGCTTAAATGCAACCTAATAAATCAGTAAATTATTGAAGCTAATTAGGTAATAAATAGGTGTGTGATAGCTCTTCTCTCTAAGCCTTAAACAAATACCCCTCTTATGAAAATGGTTTTCATTTTTGTGGTGTTTATTCCTACTGGCAATTTTTCCTATACTCGAGTTTTCTCACAATCAATTAATGGTATTTGGTGATACTGATAGGATCTAACTGAAATATAATTGTCATATAATTGTCAGGTTGTATATTTATTTTTTTTTAAAGAATTTGTTATCAAAAGAAATAAAGGAAGAGGAAAAGATTAATGTTGAAGACAAGCATAGTGAGTCATTGTTTCCTTTAAATATTTATCCCATTAGTAAAAATAGCATTATTTCAATTTTGTTAATGATGGATGTTTAAATTGTTTATTCAGAACCAGAAATTAAAAGGAAAGAAAATTTGCAGATTCCATCAGTGGAACAGGTTCCTGAAAATATTGCGAGTGAAGTCGAGGAGAGAATGAAATCAATAAAGTTCACAAGAGAAGGAACGAATGGATGGCAAAAGTCTGGCAGTGGTCTTATTATAAGCATCTGGGACTTTGGAGGACAGCCGATATACCATGTGATACAACGTGTAATGTTAATTTTTTTACCTTTGTTGTTTAATAATTTAGTGCAGCGCGTGGGTCCTATGGGAAAAGGAGTAAGAAAATAAATGTGTATAATTTGTAGAAGCGTGTGGTGCAGTGCTTTGGGCATTGGACTTTCAGTTGGAAGGTTAGGAGATTGAGATCAACGCTAGTCACACTGCTTGTGTCCTTGGGCAAGACACTTTATCTACATTTGTCTCTCTTCACCCAGGAGTGTAAATGGGTACCTGGTAAAGGGGTGAATGATTCGGAATGAAATTAGTAGTGCTGAGTACATGCATATCTAGGAATACTCCTCATGGAGTGGAGGAGATCGCACAGTGTGTATAATTGATTCTGTATCCAATGATCAGGGAAAAAAGCGCCTTGAGCAATTTTGTATATATGTGTGCTATGTAAATCACATAAAATATAAACAAAAATAAAAAAATTATGATAGATTTCATATTTTGTTTGCAAGGTATATGGCGCATTCATTGGGATTTCTAAATCTGCAAGTGCTAAATACACTATTTTGCATATTTGTGACAGTTGGTATGCACATAGATACTGAGGACTTTGTTCATTCGTGGTGTTATACCAAGTATCTATTATGTTTGATAATTTTTGCCCAGAATTCATTATTTGTTATTTTTATATCCCATGGCAACAAATTAGTTATAATAAGTTGGTTAAAATACTAAAAATGACCATTAAGATTTCATTGGAATAAAAATTTAGTTCTGCTTCTTCAATTTTGACACCCTCCTCCCCCTTCAGTTCCACATTCTCAATTTTCGCACCCCCACCCCATTGTGAGTGTTCCATTAAAAAAATAAAATAAAATGAAATGATGTTATATCGAATATTTATACAATTAATGTCAACAAATTGTCTTGTTACAGATTTTCATGGCATCTCTTGCTGTTGCATGTGTGGTATTCAATCTAAATGATGACCTTGATGCGCCCGCTAATGTCAGAGATCCAACAACTGTAAGCATTAACATTGTCTTTTATTTTCATAAGTAAATGTTCTAAATTTAGATTATTTATGGCCCATTTACAAGGTACATTTTACAAATGGTTATTCTATAATAACTATAACATGCAGTATTGGGCTTGCTCATACTATATTTGTATGTTTAATTCTTTTGTCATTGTCTTTGATTATTAATTATATAAATCTTCAATTTTTTTAAATTTCAGGGAGAAATGTACAAACATCGAATGACACACCTTCAGTTTATTCTTTACTGGATTCGTTCAGTATTTATGAACAGTAGAGAGTCAAAACTGGATGATAAACAACTTTCACCGCCAGTATTACTGATAGGTACACACCTAGACAAACTTGAGGGGAATGAAGAACAAAGGAAAAATAAGGTAAACTGTGCTGTATCATCCATTTTGGAGTAGAGTTGAATAGCTTAGTGTTAAGATGCTTGTCTTCCAATCTTAGGGTCCTGGGTTCAAATCCAGTCACGTCAACAGGATTTTTTTTTCTTACGATCAAAACAACTCCACCCTTTAAGCCTCATAACAGGACTTAGTTTATGTAGAGCATCTTGTTTATATGCTTATCTTGTGAAAGGATTGCCACTTTGGTTTGCCATGGTCCTGAGCCTAAAAATAGAGTAAATAAAACAAAATAAATATTCTACCTACTTTATTTCTTATTTCAGTCTGGCTTCAGACCTAAACAATTAACTCTAACCTCACTAACTACTACCTTTCATGGCTTCTTCACGATACTAACAATAAACACTTCACTTTATTTAATTTATTCATTGATCTTTTATTTTTTTTCATAAACACTTCAACACTTAAACTTTGATCCTCATGTTGATATGTATGCTGATGATACAATAGTTTATCACAGCATTACTTCTGTACAAATCATCTACTATGGTTAAAATCTAACTCTAAACATTAAAAAACAACATGAAATACTTGTTTCTCATTGTCTTTATGTAAATCAATACATAGGTGTAGCTTAATTAATGTTTATTTCTTGTATTATTCTTTTGCATGTATGTAAAGACAGGCCTAATTCATCAGTTCAAGCTGGATTGACCACCCTGACAAACATTGTTGAAACAAATAAATACACATTCTGCACAAATATGTTGTAGTACATAGTCGATAATATAATAATTATTAGCTTTTTAATTATGACGAAAAATTAAATGTGCCTCTTACATCTCAACTCCTTATACACACACTAAATTCACCCCAAACAATATTAATTCTAATAAACAATCATCTCTAATTTCAGGCTGAAGGAATATTCTCCAAAATTCATTCAGCTTTGGCAGGCAAACCTTATGAGGCAATGGTTTTTTCAACTATGTATGCTATTGACAACAGTGTACCATTCTCCAAGAGCAGTGCTTCTGAAATCATGAGCCAAATTTTAACATTCACCAAGAAAATGGTCAGACGTCTGCCTTTGAAGTGGTTGTTGGTTCAACAGAAAATCCAGAAGTTAAAAAAGAAACATATTTATCTACCAACGAATGAAGTAAGAAACCACTTTACAGATGAATTAAAAGTAGATTTGCATTATTTTTTTAACTTGAGGACATTATTTGCATTTGTTGTGCAGTAAAATATTTGATTCTCATAATTGTCATTAATTTTTTTCATTTATTTATTCAGGTATCAATATTATTAATCAACATTTACAATTGTATAAACAATTATATATATTTTCCTAATTTATATATATATATATATATATATATATATACACAAACAGATCAGTAAAGCTGATGAAGGCCAGAGGACTGGCCGAAAATTTCTTTCGAAAATAAATGAAGTGTTCTACAGTCTATCTGTCATAGTAGTTTAATTATTATTTCTTAATTTAATATTATTAAATTATTAATCAACAGTTATGTAATACAATATAACACATTTTTCTTTATTTAAATTTGTATATATATATATTCCTATTCCTATTAATCTTATTATTTAATTTAATTTGTATATATATAGGTATAAATATGAATTGAAGTATTTTTTAAACTAATTAAATGTGCAATGTATTTTATTATTAGATTTGTTATTAATTTTTTTTCTTATTACTTGTAATACAATTGAACATTTTGTATGTTTTTTATATACCGAAATAAAATAAAAAAGGTTTAAAATACATTACAAAAGGCAGAACAAGTATGAAATTATTGCATTATAATCAAAAACAAACAGATCCAGAAAACATTTTTAAAAAGTAGAACAAATATTGGTAAAAAAAGCTTTGTCCGATGAGGTATAAGAATTTGCTTTACATTTTGAATATAAATCTTTTTATTTGTTATTATCCTGATGATGAAATACCATGGGATTGATTCCTCCATAATTTTACAGTATCTTTGAATTTGTTATGGTATACCTAATTATGTGGCATGTTCTCACAAACCCATAGAAATTGAAATACTTTTTATATAAGTATATTTTATACTTTAATTAGCTTTAGAATATACAATGTATCTTATATATAACTTATTGAATTAGTTTCCTTTAATCAAATAAATAACAATTAAACTTTATGTATCAGACTTTCAAAATTCAGCGAGGGCACAGGTTGCACAAGATACGTATGAATGCATACACAAGGAACACTTAAAATTATTAACTTCCGCTGTTATTGGCAGAAACAATAGTGTTGTCTTGGATAGTTTCTTTGAGAACAGTTAAAGTTGCATGGCCAACAGAAATTCTAGAATTAAGCCTGAACAAAATGCCTATGTTTAAACCTATAACCTGTAGTTTTCATGTTAAAAATTTGTGACATGATAGGTAATTTCAGATTTTAATATTTTATTTTTTACAAAATGTCTTTTAAAAGTTTACACAGTGATGATTTTCATAATCAACAATCGAATTCAGCATCAAATAAATATCAGTAAAATATTTATTGTTAATGTTAATTGAAACAAATTGGTATAAAATAATAAATATGTGAAATAAAGTAATATGAAACTAAAAGTAGACATTAGTAAACCTAATACAAATTTTAATGATATTTTTTATCAGGTCATTGCATTACTTGATCGTTGTGAAGTAAAACGTGATGCTCATCGGGTCTTGCTTGAATATTTACATGATGTCGGAGAGCTCCTTTACTTTCCTGATGATAAAGCCTTAAAGGATGTTATTGTTTTAGATTTGATGCAAATAGTTGACATGTTTAAAACAGTAATAACTGTTATAAATCCTAAACTTCAGGTAAGCTAAGCACATGTATTGGTTTAATCAAGATTTACTTCTACAGTAGTTATATATTCATAGTTGTTTTAAATTTCTGGTTTTTTTAGCTCCAATGAGGAGCTCTAGGAATACCCTGGTGATTGTGTGCTTTTTTGCTGATTGACAGCTTTTTTCATGGCTAAGTGGGTTTCAGCAAAGGACTGTAATTTACTACCATTACCACTTCTATACACGCCGTATGGATAGCGCGGTCGGTTTAACCATGCCATCCTTGCAACGGCTCCATGCGATGGTGCTAATGAACCAAAGGCCGTCAGTTTGAATCGCGTCTTGAAGTCATTTTTATTTTCAATTTAAAGACATTTTAATTTTGTACAAATTATTTAATCTAATTATTTGAAAAATTCTCTCTTATAAGGAGTTCAAGAAATACTCGGCTGATTAATTAAATAATCATTAGATTTTTTCTTGTGAAGTGTACCACCAATACCAAGGACTGTATGTACTGCCATTACCGCTAATAGGGCACGACGTATAGATGGCGCGGTAGGTTAACGATGTGTTCTATTGTATCAACGGTTGTGAGTTTGAATCTTCTCTTCGTATTGAATTTTTTTTTTAAGACATTTTTTTAAACAATTTTAAGACATTTTAATTTTGTACAAGTGAACATTCTAATTATTTAAAAAAATTCTCTTAGCTCTTCTAATTTTTTTTGCCATACAGCTCTTGAATGTCTTAGAACGTTCATTTATACAAAACAAAAAAATTTAACACAGAGGCGCAAAACTCAAGACCTTCATTTCCTAATTACAACACAGTATTAACCAACTGAACCATTTATACGACGTGTCCTGCTAGTGGTAGTAATTAATGGCAATTATGAACCTGTGCCGAAAACCAAATATAATATTAATAACTTACACCACTGTGTACAGTATTTAAGCATGGAGGATATTTGCTCCATTATTTAAGCATGTTTTAATAAACTCTACTGCCTCTATTATACTGCCCTCATCAGAGCTTTTGAGATTACAAGAACTTATTTATTCTGGTTTATTAAAAATACATTTTGACATCATTAGCAGCACAAACTGAATTTCATGTACCTAGTCACTAAAAAAATAGAAAAAAATCTGTAATTGGAAATGTAATATATTCTGACATTTCAATATTAGGAGCCATTATTAAAAGAAGCTTGGAGAAAATTGGATTCTGGGATCTTAGAGGAGCTTCTCTTGAAACATCTCTGGCAGAAGTTCAATCTTACAGATGAAACGTTTGACTTCTTTATACATCTGATGCAGAAGTTTGGACTGGTTTGTGAAAGAAAGATTTCAAAGGTAGGGACTTTCACAGATAGAGAGTCTAGACCACAGGCGGGCAAAGTGCGGCCTGAGGGCCGCATGTGGCCCGTCAACGATTTTTTTTTGTGGCCCGAAGAATTAAAAACTCTATGTTTGTGGCCTGCCAATCAAAATTGTCTAGAAAACACCTTGTTTTTTACGGTCTGACACTAATCATATGTAAAAAGTAACATTGAAACTGAGAATAGTGTGATGTAAAAGCAGTGCTTGAAGGTTTTTGGAAGCTCACTGAAAACATCAAATTTGGATGCGGCCCTCTGTGTTAAATCAAAAATTCACTTTGGCCCTCCGACCAATTTTTATGCCCACCCCTGGTCTAGACCAACCTCAGCCCCACCATGTTTAGGGTTGAGGTAAGAAAATTTATGATTATGGCAAACGCTAGATTGCCAAAAATGGCACTCTCAAACCAAAATTTGATTAACATTTTCCTTTTCTCTATTTTTAAATAATTTTGAAAAGAATTAGGGAGCGGGGGCCTGGACAGGCTCAGCCACCCCTTGAATCCGCCACTGATCTTGGTTAGCGGTTGGCACAGGTAACTTGGAGCGGTGCCAGCGGCAGCCCTGAAGGCCAGACGGCTAAATTGGTGGGTGATGGACTAGAGACGTTTAGTTGTTTATGAGTGGTATGGGTGCACTTTGTTTGTTCTGTATCTTGGACCTGTGCAAAGTTTTTTATTTTTTTATTTTATAGACTGAACGGATTTTCTATGTTCTGTCGCGGTTGAAGCCTGAACATGTAGATTCATTGCCCCCTGAGGATTATGGAAAGCGTGCAGTTTCTATTTTCCATGATTTTGGTGGATATCTACCAGATGATCTCTTCCAACGCGGTGTAACAAAATTTATTGAGAAATTTCAAGTAGAAGACAGTGAACCTAAGCTGGCTTATGAGCATGTGGAGTTGGGCATTCACGAGCATCACCATGTGATTTTGAATGTGGCCACCATCAAGCATCGTCGTATGTTCCAGGTATGTAGGCCCAGCCCTGGTCAGTGTATCACTTTCATGAACATGATTTAAAAAAACATAAACTCGATCACTGCTTCCAAAACTTAACTAAACACCTTGTATTTTGCAGATGACAATTATCAGAAGAAAGATTCTCAACACCGATGCAGAGGAAGATGAACCCTCCCCTAGTGTGTGTAAGGAGGTAAGGTGTTGCTAGTTAATTCATTTATGCTTAGACAGTAGCGTATCTAGGGGTGTGCGCGGGGGGGAGCACACGCTCCTCTAACAACTATTCACGTCCCCCCAAAAATCATTTGCAAGTAGTTAAAAATCACCTTATTTTGTGAGTTCACCGTGGACCCCACCCCCAAACTTCACCTTCATGCCCCTCATTTGCACCCCCATTTCAAGACTTCTTGATATGCCACTGTGCTTAGATGAGTTTACTGAATTTGAGTATGTAATTTAAATTGTTTAAAAAGAAATGGTACTCTTTATTAAAAAAATTGTGTATAAATATTTATTATTATTGTTCTCCCTTTTCTCAAGGTTCTGAGATTTGTTGAAGCAGAACTAAGACTTTTTTGTCAGAGTGGTGCACGAGGGGTAGAATTAACAAGGTACATCCCCTGCGTGTGTACCAACCACGCTTATTATCACCAGCCTGTTTCTTAGACCAAGTTTGGTTGAGCAATCAGTACTGTTAAGGGTTATTTTCTACTTTATTACCTACTAGACTATAGAGATTTATACAGTCGAGGCATAACCACTCCCTCCCTGCTCTGGGCCCTGCTCAAGATACGGTACCTCCACGACATGCATAAAGCTCCAGTGGAGTCGTCGCCTGCTGAGGTACTTTTTAGGCCTAGGTCTGAGACAAGAATATTATTTATGGCAAATGCTATCGCTGCATGAAAAAAAAAATGAATCTCCCCATTTGTTGATTATTTTACAGTTATTTCAAATCCAAAATTAAATCATAGGATGTTTGTAGTTACTGCCGAGGATAATGATCATCATATGACATAAATATTATTATTACGTACTGGCATGAGGTTGTACCATACCAACCAGGCCTATTATCACCAGCCTGTTTCCTAGACCAAGTTCGGTTGAGCAATCAGTACCTTTAAGGGTTATTTTCTACGTTATTACCTACTCGACTACAGAGATATATAGAGTCGAGGCATAACAACTCCTTCCCTGCTCTGTGCCACTTCACAGTGGAGCCTAGGCCTATACATGTACATATGTAGCCTACACTAGCAGCATTCCAAGAGCCTAAATGAAATGCACAGAGATTGCCAAAGTAATTATAAGTCACTATTTAAAAGAAAACCAGTAATAGCTGGAGGCGCCTATTTGGTCTATTGAAGTTGGTAAAAAAAATGTCTTGAAAATGGTAGCCCGTAATGTACAAAAATGGTATAAACACTACAGCATCTACAGTAGGCCTGGACCTAAGCAACTTAATAAAAATTATGTTAGTCTTGTATGTAATGCAAGAAATTGATTGTAAAATACATGTTTATACAATAAGATCCGAAAAGTATATGGTTAATACTATCCGAGAATCTACTTGATCAAATTACGAAGGCCTATTGTTGGCACACACCATGATTGTCACCAAGGTCATTGCATATCAAACAACCATGTTATTTTTACTTCATCTACAACATATACTATAGCAGTGATAAATACATTTTCATTTCATTATATTCATTTTCATTAGTTTTTTTTAAATATCTTCTCCAATGCAGATGTTTTAAGTAATAAATTGCTTATTATTTTGTGGTCAAGCTTGGTTACTATAGAATTATGGTAATATACAGTACATAGCAGGATATTTATCTTTGTTGTCATGCGTTTTTAGGTTATGTGGATGACGCTGTCATTGCGACGGTGTCAGAGCAAATGGACGTCAGCTGGAGAAGCTTTGGTGTCCGTTTGGGACTTCCATGGTCAAAGGTCAATAAGTTTTTTGCTGATGAACAACTGACAGAACAGGCTATCGTCAGTATGTTGACGTATTGGAGGGACAGCATTGAGAGAGATAGACATCAACTGAAAGTACTGTGCATCGCTCTGAGAGAACATGGTTATGTGAGTCTAGCTGGAGAGTTATACCAGGGTGATCTTGATGATGAAATTGCACCCATTGCGATACATAATGGTAAGGCTGTAGTGAGGATAGTTCTAAAATTTGGGAACCACTACTGTATGGGGCTAAGATACTAACTATGGCACCAAGTTACAAAACTAATATATGCTATCGGTAGCCAATACCAACCTGCTCTTTTCCGAAGACTGTAACTGCGTTCTTCAACATATTGCACATGGGACCCACTGCTCATCTGCACATTGCACTATTGTGATTTGCATTCATCCCCAGCTGAAGCACACATAAGAACACATTTGGAATTTAATCAGGATTTTGAAGGTCTGAAAGCATCTTCAGCGTATATACATTTTGCTACTATCAGTTCAGCCGACGGATCTAAGCAGCTTTCTCAAAAACTATTGTTGAATGTCTTATTTTTGGTTTCAGGCCACTTGGCAGATGTCGACATGCTGTCCATTGCCGAGCATTTGAGCGATGATTGGAAAACCTTGGGCATCATTCTTCGTTTTAAGCCATCTGAACTAAGGCAAATTGAGTCCTGTCTCTTATACACATCTAGTGCTGCAAAATTAAATTTTCAAACACTTATCAGTTTCGTTTGGCAAGGCTCAAGTGGATAGTGGGAATAAAGCCTGAAGTTTTTCAAGGAAAGGTACGGTACCTTCATGACATGCATATGGCTCCAATGGAGTCGTCGCCGGTTGAGGTACTTTTTAGGTCAAGGTCAAGTCAAGAATTATTCATGGCAAATGCTATCGCAGCATGAAAAAAAAAGCGAATCTCCATTCGTTGCAAGAGTATTATTTTACAGTAACTTATTTTAAATCCAAAATTAAATCATAGGATGTTTGTAGTTACTGCTGAGGATATAACAAATATTATTATACATACTGGCATTGGGATGTATGTGCCATACCAACCACGCTTATTATCACCAGCCTGTTTCTTAGACCAAGTTTGGTTGAGCAATCAGTACTGTTAAGGGT